ATTTGCAAATATTGTACCAGCCTTGCATTCCTGGGATGAATCCCACTTGGTCATGGTGGATAATTTTTTTGGTGTATTGCTGGATCCAATTTGCTAGTATTTTGTTCAGGATTTTGGCATCTATGTTCATCAGAGATATTGGCCTGTAGTTTTCTTTCTTTGTTGTTTCTTTTTCTGGTTTTTGAATTAGAATTATGCTGGCTTCATAAAATGAGTTTGGAAGTCTTCCTTCTTGAATTTTTTGAAATAGTTTGAGGAGAATGGGTATTAGCTCTTCTTTGGCCATCCGGGCCTGGGCTTTTTTTTGCTGGGAGAGTCTTGATTACATCTTCAATTTCTTCTGTTGTTATTGGTCTGTTCAAGTTTTCTATCTCTTCCTGATCCAGTTTTGGGAGACTATGTGTTTCTAGAAATTTGTCCATTAGCATTTTCCTTTTTGCTTCAGTAAATTTATGTTGGTCGAATCAATTTAGAAGGTAGTAAAAGTATAGACTTGGTGATAATAGCAGTGGTACTAGTTAACATTTATACAACATTCACTATATAAATGCACTTAATTGGGTACTCCATTGGCATTATTTTCTTTAGTCCTCGCGACCCCCTCATGAAGAAGGCAATGAGCATTTCCGTGCCTCTCCGGCATCCATTCCACTCCTCACCAGTCACGGGCAAACGAAGACAAGGAAGTGGTAGAGTAAGGAGACACTGAAAGAATAAAAGAGCAAGCCCTAAATCCCTGCTCTCATGGATTTTTCATTCTTTCATTCTCCTGGAGCCCACTTGACCTGTGCGTCCACATACATGTGCCAAGATGGTTCACCTTGTTAGTTCTCAGTGCAGGCAGACTAGGTGCCCAGCCAGCTGCTGTTGGCACCCGAGGTGAGGAGCTTGTTACTGATGAGTGGGGCTGTGAGTTCTGCTCTCCCCTGGTCTCACCCAGACCACAAGGAGGTAGCTCACTGCTGCTGGGCGGATTCTCCACTAGGTCCCCTCTAACATTGCCCCATAGAGGGACACCTCGTGACTGCTAGGTTGGGGTGGAAGTCCAGGCTCCCCACATGGTCTCCACTGGCACCTGGGGGGGACCATGAGGGGCCTTGTTACAGACCCGAGTGGGTGGAAGTCCCCGCTCTCTACTTTGCTCTGAAACCCTTCTGGGAAGGGTATGGGTGCCTCCTCACAGCACCTCCTCAAACCTCCATGGGTGGCCTTTGCTTGTGTGAACTGGGGGTGGGCTGTGGTGTTTGGGTCGAGCTATTATTGTCTGAAAGTTTTCTGTCTTGTCCGGCTGCCTCTTTCCCTTCTCTGCTATGGAGAGCAGGGTTTTTTGAGACTTTTCTTGGTCAGCGCCTGTTGATGTTTTGGAGTTGCCAGTGTCTACAAATCCAAGTCGGGAATACATAATGACACAAAAAGAAAACTCAGAGAATTTCCCACTGTGTTGCTCTTCAGGATCCCAGGTGCCCCCTGGTCTGCTTTCTGCTCTCCATGTTTCAGAGCTTTCTGCTCCTATGTTCATTTTAGTTGGACTTACTGGGAGGAAGAGTGGAAATGTGTCTACTCCATCACACCAGAAGTGGAAGTTCCAGAATACTTCTCTTTAAATACACCTGCTTTATGGCTTCATGTTGGCTTTAATGTGCAATATATGTGAATATTGTAATTATGGGGATTCACATACTCTGACATTAACAATTAGTATCTATAGCGACAACTTTTGGGACTTTCAGTAAGATACATGTGATCAAACCAGGGCTTATTTTAGCTATCAAGTATGTGACAGACTGAAATTCAACATTGTATTTCAAATTATAAATGATCACTTGCCCAGAAAAAATTGCCAACATCTATTTTTCTAAAAGTATCAGTTTTTTGGATGCAATTATTGCTTTTGGAGTACCATTGAATATAAAACATTGCGTATGAAAAATGCTCTTCTGTTTTAAATAAACTATGCTTTTAATGTCTATGATGAAGAACACTTGTATCTATAACAAAGGAGGAAGAAAAAGCAATACAAATGATGTTAAGCATTTTCTTATTCTCCCTTGACATGATTAAAGATCAGTTTAACAGATCATGAGTTAGTATATCCTAATCAAACTTGCTCCCTGATTAGAATACAGTATCTTTAGAAGCTGTAGCTTCAAAAATGCTTATGTTCCTGAAAAGGTTATCCCAGTAAAAGGGCCACATATGCACAAAAGAAAACAAAAATGTTTCTGTTCAAGTAAAACTGATATAAGGAGTGATTTGAAAAATTCATGTTTGATATTGAAGTCAAATTTCTCTGAATCAAATTTATAGTTCTGAAACTTGGTTACAGCTTACCCAGTATTTTCTAGGATTTCAGTCAAAGAAAGGAAGTATTCAGCTGAAAACACAGCCAGAAAACACAAAAACAAAACAACTGGAGTGGCCCCGACGTTCTGGAGAACGAATGGGGAAGAAGACCGTCCTCCTTCCATGCCCACTCCGATGACTCATCTGTTTTCACTCCCTTCTCCCTTTATGACATATGAGACTCTACCGCTCACTTGTAGTGTGGCCACTTCGAACTCCGAATCTGCACTGTGTTAGCCTTGTATGCCAACACCCCCAAATTAGTTTTTGATTATTCTCCTTTTTCATGAAAAAAATTATTAAAATAAATGTGGGCATTGAGCTATGAATATTATCCAGCAATCTCTAAAACTATATACATATGATTATTTATTGAGCTACTCTGTATATTATAAATATAATATATTAGAAAGTAGTAAACTTGTAATTTTCAGGAACAACACAATTTTTTTTGTCACTAAACTAGTTCTTATGATAGGTATTTTTTTTGTACCCTTTATTTCAGTTTAACCTGCCAGTCTATCATTTTGTATCCTATCATTTAAATCCATAATTATTAATAATCTCTAATTGTACTTCCTATGGTTAATGATGTAAACATCTTTTGATTTCTAATGTTCAATCCATAATATAAATATATCTTATTCTAAATATAACAACATTTAGAATATGAAATATATATAAAAGACTTGTTTTTCCACTTTCCTTGAGTAATGGTTCTAGAGAATGAATGTATTTGCAGCCTGAAATGAAAGATTTGGGATTTACAAAGGATTATATTATAGGGAGTTTGTCATTTAGATAGACTGATAGGTTTCATCATCTCATTTGATTTAAGAATCCCTAAGTCCTTACAGAAAACAGAACTGCAAAACTCTGGACCCTTTTATTGTTAATGAACCTACAGAACACATAATGCTCAGTGTTCTTTTTCTAGAAAATAGATGATCACTTGCAGAAAATTGTGGTTGTTTGAAAATATATTTACAAATTTTTGATACCCCCCTTTAAGAGGTAGAGATTAATTTCTCTCTCTAGTGAGAGTTGGTGACCTGCTATTAACGAACAGAAATGATGGGACTGATCCCGAGTGACACTGAGACTAGATCAGAAAAGGCGTTGTGGTCTCGCCCTTGCTTGCTTTCTGGAGTCCCTCACGCTGTGGGAAGCCAGCTGACATGTTGTAAAGACATTCAAGCACCTGTATGGAGAGAACCATGAAGTGTCCTCCACCAGTCACGGGGCTGCCAATACCTGTGAGTGGGCCATCTTGGAAGTAGATCCCCTTGTCCCAGTCAAGTCTTCAGGTGACAGTATCTATGGCCGAAGTCTTGACTGCAATCGCATAAGAGACTCTGAACCAGAACCACCAGCTAAACCTGTCCCAAGCTGTCAGATAAGTCATGTTGTTGTTTTACGTCACAAAGTTTTGGGTTAATTTGCTACACAACCATAGATGACAAATGGAGATTTTTTTCCCCTCCTTAACATTCTGTTCCCCTGGAATCACTCTCGGTACCAAACAAATTGTGTTGTGTCAGAGAGAAGCCTGACTTTGTTACTGAAAATTTTGGAAATTAAGTGGTTAAAAGAGATGTGGACGGTGCCACATTGACAGAGGCGGATTTTGGTGGCTTTGTTGTAATGTGTGGACTTGTGTCCCTTTGTGGTTCTGGTTAGGTGGCCGCAGGAGACAGCGTTTAGCTGGAGGCCAGAGGGGAAGCAGCAGCCGTTTTGTTTTTTCACCCCTGGAAGGTGAAGGCGGGCTCTTTTGTGTCTGACACAGGTCACCCCTCACCTGCTGGCTCCTCTCGTTAGAGGGGAGCAGCAGCCAGACCGGCAACTGCTCTCCCTTCCCCCGGGTCTCCTTCCGCTTCTCTGATCCCTGGGCCAAGTGCATGTGTAGGTCTGCGCTGAACCTGAAGATGTTCAGTGATTTGCCCAAGGTTTCAGGGCGATTTTTCAGTAGAGCTGAATTTAATCTTCTAGTCCATTGTCTTTCTATGTGCCCTAACTGACATATTGCAAGAGAATCAATAAAACAGTGGTTCTGCAAAACAATCTAGATTTCCAATCTGTTTATTACTTTTTTCTAATTATAGTATACCTAATATAATTAATTGCCTAGTTATTTTAAAATTTCTTAGTATGGGATTTTTTTTTTCTTTTTTTTTTTAATCCTCACCTGAGGACACTTTTTTGTTTTTTGTTCAGATAGAGTGGGAGGGTGAGAGAGGAAGGGACAGAGAGAGAAACATTGACGTAAAAGGGACACATCGAGTGGCTGCCACCCACACCACCCAACCAGGGTGGGGGACAAACTGCAACCGAGGTACGTGCCCTTAGCAGGAACCAAACCCGGGTCTCTCTGGACCGCAGGCTGACGCTCTAACAGCTGAGCCAAACTGGCCAGGGCTGGGATTTTTTTTTCTTTAGGCAAATCAGGTGAAAGTAAGATGATCTTCAAGTCTGATGGATTTTGAATTTTGACTTAAATAAACTATTTGACTTAAACAAGCTATTTCAGATAGCTTGTTATCAAAACTTTAATTTTCAAGTATATTAGAAGGTAAAATAATGCCAGTTTGTATATATCATGGCTTAAAAAAAGATTATGAGAATGTTTTTCGCTCTTCATGTCTTGTCCACTTCTGCAGCTGGATTCTGATGGCACCATTACTATAGAAGAGCAGATTGTCCTTGTGCTGAAAGCCAAAGTACAGTGTGAACTCAACATCACAGCTCAGCTCCAGGAAGGAGGTAAGGATGCTAAGAAAGTGGTGTCCTCCTCGTGCCCCTCCCCCAGGCCTCACCAAGATTGCAAATGTCCTTTATTTAGTATTAGGAGATGCTCATTAGTCATTGCATTCCCACGTGGAGGGGTGTGCAGCAGAATCAGGCTCTTTTCATCTCTTTAACCCACTAGCTTTGCCCTCCCTATGGGAGGAGTAACTTGCCTGATGGGTGAGTTTGGGAATAGCAGCTGTGCACATCAGCCTGTTCCTCTGGCCTCTCTGGGTTCTGTCTACCTGTAGAGAGCATGCGTGCTGCTTTATCTCGATCATGCAGTAGGCTTCGAGGGGTAAGGTCTGCCCTGGTGGGTGTTGCCTGTAGTTTTGGGTGGTATCTAAAATTCAGATGAGCAAATAAGCAAGCTCATTTATATGTACCTAGGCCATGTTCTCCAGAGAGCCTTTTTCTTAATAAAGTGATTATTTGATCTCCACCTGCCTGATTCTTTACGTAGTTTCTTAAATGGTTCCAAATTCAACTGGGAAGGGAACCACTGTTTACGGAGCTCCCTAAATTCCAGCAATCTGAATGCAGCAGATAATGTCCTTAAAGCTATAACCCATAATAAAATATGTAGTTTGCTATCTGCTTGATGCTAGTCTCCAAATATTAAAAAAGTTTTATGATTGATTTCTCAGTGGGTTATTATTGAAGATTGTGGTCTGCACAGTACTGATTTTTAAAAAGGTGTTGTGACTTAGCAGCTTATATTGCAGTCAGTTTTGATAAATGTTCTCTGTGGTCTTCAGAGGAATGGGATTTTCCAGCTGAGTACGTTGTTTCAGTGTCCACTAGGTTAAGTTATCGGTTGTATTGTTCATGTGTTCTGTGTCCATAATGATTTTTTATCTGCTTGGCCTATTCTGGTCTGAGGTTTATATCTTAAAATCTCTTGCTATGATGGGGAATTTTGTGCTTCATATATTTTAGAAATGTTCTTAGGTATATACAAGTTTAGAAATATGTTTCTAAATGAAGCAGCCCTCTTTATCTTTAGTGTACTTTTGCTTCAAATATTAAATAATATATGATCCAGCCCTGGCCAGCGTGGCTCAGTTGGTTGGAGCATCCTCCTAAATCACAAGGTCTGAGTTCAGTTCCTAGTCAGGGCACATACCCAGGTTGCGAGTTTGATCCTGGTCGGTGTGTGTACAGAAGGCAACCACCTGATGTTTCTTTCTCACATTGATGTTTCCCTCTCTCTGTCTCCCTCTCCCTGCCTCTCTCTAAAATCAATAAATATATCCTTGGGTGAGGATTAAAATAATTTAAAAAATGTATAAGATAAAATAATTATATTAAAAGTAACTAATAAATAATATTTGTTTCTTCCTCTCTTGGTAGGTATTTGCCTTTTTCCACCCTTTAAAAATGTCTTTGATTATAAAATACAGATAACATTAAATTTACCATCCTAAATATTTTTAAGTACACAGTTCAGTAATGTTAAGTGCATTTACATGGCTGTGCAGCCAATCATCTTGCAAAAATGTATACTTTATGTCCATTAAACAACTCTCTATCTTTTCCCATTCTTTTTTTTTCCCTCTCTTTTTTTAAAAATATTTTTTTCTTTATTAATTTCAGAGAGAAAGGAAGGGAGAGGGAAAGAGAGATAAAAACATCGATGAGAGAGAACATCTATTGGCCACCTCTTGCATGCCCCCCACTGGGGATTTGGCCTACAACCTGGGCATGTGCCCCCACCGGGAATTGAACCAGTGACCTCTTGGTGTGGGTTGACGATCAACCACTGAGCCACACCAGCTGGGCGACTTTTCCCATTCTTTCATTAAACTTTTTTGTATGCTTATGTTTTGGTAATATCTTTTATAATCAAGACACACATGAACTTCATGTTATCTATTCTGATTATCTTTGTCTATTAACTGAAGTATTTAGTCCAATTACATTAATTGTGATTATTAATATATAGCACTTAAGTTTAATTCTGCTTATTCAGTTCATCTTATTTGGGCTTTTCATTTCACCAGCTTTTCCTCCCTTCCATCCCCACCCCCACCTTCTTCAGCTTCTTTTGAATTGAGACTTTTTTCCTTATTTCATCCTCCCTCCCTTTACTAGTTTGGAAGATGTATATTATATTTAATTCTTTAGTGATTAACCTAGAAAAGCCTCAAATGACCTTATGAAATAATTTCTGGCCAAAGATTTATTCTTTTAGATTATAGCCAGCTAAGCTGTGTTATAAGAAAGAAGATTTTTATATTAATTCCACCTTTGTAGGCTTTGTGTACCGGGAAGCAGTTGTCTGAACGGCCAGACCAATAGTGTTAAAAAGGGGACTCACCCACGTCACCTCTAAAGAACACTGAAGGAGCAATGTACTGTGAAGGAATTTATAAGTATTATTATCTTTGAGGGCTGAATGAACTGTTTTCTATGAAGTCTCATGAAATTCTGAGCTGGGAGATATCTCAGTCCAACATGATCATCTTCAGTGTTCCTTTAACAGTTCGAATGTGACCACAGTTTGTTGCTTCTGTACTAAGCACTGGAAAAGTGAATCAGATTCTGTCCTTGCCTCTGGAGATAATGATAATGCTTTTCAGTCTGGTGTCATTAACAGAGGCATCAAACCATGGAATCACTGGAAAGGCAGCTTAACTCAATGGGGGGCAGATCAGAGGAGGCTACCTGGAGGAATAGTCATCTTATCTTAAAATGAAAAGAACAGGAACTAGATGTGTAGAGAAGAAAGTAAAAGACATTCCCGGCAGAGAGAATAGGATGGGTCAAGTCCAGCAAGTGCGAAGCAGTCACACACCACAAGCGTTACACATAAAAGAGTAATGATCTGGATGTCAACTTACATAACAGCTAAAATTTATGACGATGTGAAACATGAAAAAGTTGATGAAAAAATATTAAAAGAGAAAAGATACTTTCTTTGAGATCTTCTCCATACAAATAGGACAGAATTAAATCTGGTCAAACTTTGTTCTACCCTTCAATAAAAATGTCTAATTAAATGTAAATTGACAAAAAATTTCTTTACTTTATATGTAAAAAAGTAGAATGACATTATGAATTCACTAGCTAATTTAAGAAATACTCATTAAAATTTTTTTCTACATTCAAGAGATGCATATTAAAATATTTAGGAGTGAGCTGTTATGCTGTCTGCAATTTAATCTAAAATACCACCACAAAAAATAAATGACATGAAATAATATGGCAAAATATTAACAAGTGTCAATTCTAAATGATGAATATACAATATTCTCTTTTTTTAATGAAAAAAATGTTATGATAAAGTTTTTCTTCATATCTACAAAGAGAGGAACTGTAAAATGCAAATACCTAGTTATAAAACTATTCAAGTATTTAAAAACACAAACCAAAATATTATTGATCCTGATTCTACTCAGGAACATATGGTTACATTATGTTATAGGTGATTGTAGAACTGAAAAGAGACCAAGTTAGAGTCTTCAAATTTTATATTGTTCTGTGAAAAACATGATGGATTGACAGGCTTCACTAATATTGAGCTTGTCCTGGCTCATGCAAAAGATTACAGGAAATGTGATTAATGGCCTTAATTTATAAAGGGAGATTGGTGAGTCATCAGGCAATGAATTAGTTTCCTGCTAAATAATGAAAGTATTTACTTACATAGGATGTGAGATGATTATCAGAGCGGATGTTAATTAGGATCTCTGTATTATCCGTGAGGTCATGGCTTCTCCAGTGATTTCAACCTTTCACGAATATTTATCAGTCTCTTTGTCAAAGAGCCACCAGAAAGGTGAACATGATCTACAGAAACCTTATTTGGGGGAGTATTTGTTTTCTGAATTTGGGGGGTTATGTCTGTGTGTGGAGTGGTATCTTACAGGGAACTAGAAAACTGTCCTTTTCTGAACATGAGGAAAAACCAGCATATTTTTCTCCATAGCAGTGTGAAGACTGTGTAACTATAGAATAAACCGGTCATTGGATCTTAGACTTTTATGAAGACTTCATTCCATCACGTGACTGACTCTTGCCAGAACAGCTCACATGACATGGCTGCACACATTTTAGAGGGACCCGTAGTTACAAGAACACGAGGATGTGTGGTCAGCTGCAGTTTGTGTAGATTGCATGATGGATATCCACCTGGCAAAGGACTGGACAGTGCGGATAAATAGGGATGCATGGCCTGGTCAAGACAGCGAGTGGGTGGGAAGCATCTGGAATGGGATCAGGACAGAGAAGAGTGCCTAGGGCAAAGTTGGTGGGAGAGAGCCATTCATTGCCCTCTGTGTAAATGAGAAAGAAGAAGCCAAGCAGAAAAAGACAAATACCACATGATCTCACTTATATACGGAATATAATGAACATAACAGTCTGAGGAACACAGTAGACCCAGACACATGGAAGTAGGGCACAGACTGACATCCCTCAGAAGAGGGGATGGGGGCTGGGGGGGTGGGAAGAGATAAACCACAGAACTTATATGCATGTATGCATGACCAATGGACATGGACAACTAAGCCGGGGACGGGGCGGGGGTGGGGTGGGGAGGGGGGTGCCAATGGGGTAAAAAAGGTAAAATATCTGTAACAAAAAAATAAATAAAAAATTTATTAAAAAAAAAAAAAAAAAAGCAGGTAATGGTGGGAAGAGGCAGGGAAGTTGTGCATCAGATGCAGGAGCCAGTATGATGAGTCCCTGGGTTGCTTGTGATATCGAAAGACCAGGCCTTTTGTTATGTGAGCAAAGTGAAACTGTTTCTAGGACAAGGTTCTCTTCTATACAAACAGTGTGGGCGAGAGAAGACATTTTCTTTATTTTATTTTATTTTTAAAAAATCCTTACCGGAGGATATTTTTCCATTTATCTTCAGACAGAGTGGGATAAAGGGAGGGAGGGAAACATCAATGTGAGAGAGACATATCAACTGGTTACCTCCTGCATGACCCTGACCAGGGCTGGGGACCAAACCACAACTGAGGTAGGTGACTTTGGCCAGAATCGAACCTGCAACTCTTTGGTCCTCAAGCCAATGCTCTAACCACCGAGCTAAACCAGCCAGGGCAACATTTTCTTTCTTTTTTTTTAAAATTCCTTCAACAATCCACAAAGCATATCAAGTTATTTATTTCTGTGTGATATGGTGGATATTAAGTTAATTTCAGGTTTATGCTGGATTCTTTTTTGTAGAGATCAGTATTTGTATGAGCTTTTGTTATGCTGACTATTCAAAACCAAACAAACAATTTGATGGAATGAACATTAGCAAGAATGAAAATCCTCAGCTACACTTAGTGTAATTGGTAACTAAAAAATTGAGCTGTAATGGATAGTAGCTGTGGTAACAGAATAATGTCCTCTCCGCCCCCTCCCCCAAGATGTCCACTCCTTGTTATCTGGTGCTATGCCTGTGTATGTCATGTTACAAGATGGAATTAAAGTTATGGGCCTTAAAATAGGGAGATTATCCTGGATTATTTGGACAGGCCCAATGTAATTAGTTACATGGGCCCTTACAAGTGGCCTAGGAAGGCAGAAGAGTCACAGTAAAGGGAACGGAGAAGAGACTCGAAATGTGACATGAATCCAACCTGCTTTGCTGACTTTGAAGATGGAGGAAGGGGGGACATGAGCTAAGAAATGCAAATGGCTTCTAGAAATTGAGAACAGCCCTCAGCTGACAGACAGTAAGGAAACGGGAACCTCAGTCCTACAACTGTAAGGAACTGAATTGTGCCAGCAGTTGGAATGTGCACGGAGACAAATTCTCCCGCAGAGCCCCCAGAAAGGAATGTGGCCTGGTCTAGACCCTGACTTTGGCTCGTGAGTCTATAAGCAGAGATCCAGTCAAGCTTACCCGGCTTTGGGCTTACAGAAGTAGTGAGACAATACATTTGGACTATTTGAAACCACTAAATTTGTGAAAGTAGCAATAGAAAACAAAAACAGCACTCATTAAACATGGTGTCTTTTGGGGAAGTGGGGATATGACAGGCTGATGTGCTCTCTTCTTGGAAGCTCACGACACAGCTCATGGAGGGGAGTCCTGCAGAACAGTGTTGACTCTGACGGAATGTTTGTCAAGTACCTGGAGGCCAATGTACCAAGCAAAACAGACAAAATCTCCTACCCTCTGGGTCCTTCAATCCTGCGGTTTAAGAAAACAATAATAAAATAACACAATATTGGAAGGTGAAAAATATAGCAGGGAGGCCATAAGGAGTGTGTTGGGATGTAATTTCACATGGGGAGAGTTTACTCAGAAGTTGAAGTTTGGGTAACAATCTGTAGGAGGAAGGGAATAAACCTGTGACTATCTGGGGGAATGCATTGAGAAGAGAAAGGAGGTGTTTAGTAGGATTTGTGGTTTGGGAGATCATCTAGGGGAGAGGGCAGATCCTGTAGGGGCCTTCAGACATTGTAAAGACTTGGCTTTTGTTCAGAGTAAGATGGGGAGCCTTTGGAGGATTTGGGGCTATTGTGTCAAGAATAAATGAAAGGACTTAACTTAGCATAATGCCCTCTAGATCCATCTATGCTGTTGCAAATGGTGAGATTTTATTATTTTTTATGGCTGAGTAATATTCCATTGTATATATGTACCACATCTTTATCCATTAGTCTATTGCTTCCATATCTTGGTTATAGTAAATAATGCTGCAATAAACATAGCGATGCATGTATCTTTTCGAAATAAGTCAGATAGAGAAAGACAAATACCATATGATTTCACTTAGATGTGGAATCTAAAAAACAAAATAAACAAACTAAGCAGAAACAGATTCAGATGCAGAGAACAAACCGATGGTTGCCACATGAGATGGAGCTTTGGAGGACTGGATGAAAAAGGTTAAGGGATTAAAAAGTGCAAATTGGCCGTTACAAAAACATCATGAAAGTGTAAAGTACAGCATAGGGAATATAGTCAATAATATTGTGATAACTATGTAGGGTGCCAGGTAGGTACTTGATTTCTGGAGGGATCACTTTGTAAATTATATAAATGTCTAACTATCATGCTATATACCTGAAACTAATATAGTATTGAATGTCTACTGTAATTTAAATGCAAAGAATAAATGAAAGGAGAGTAAGAACAGAATCAGGAAGACCAACTGGAGGCTACTGCAGTAATTCAGGTTAGAGATGAGGGGCTTGGACCATGCTGGTGGCATTGGAGGTTGTGAGAAGTGATAGGGTCCTGAGTACATCTCGAGGAGAGTAGAGCTCATGAGAGTTTTGCTTGAGATGAATGTTAGACTCAAAGAAATTACTAAAATTATTGGTAAAGGCAAACCCAAATGTTGGAGCTTACCTGTGAAGCTCAATTTGTTTCATTTTTAGCAGCAAGTTTTAAAAAAATCAGGGTAAAAAAATGTAGCTACAACTATGATAGTAGAATATGACTATAGAAGTTGTTCACACCGAATTCTAATGTTTCTTATATGTTAATTGCTATAACATATTCATATTGGAATCACTAGAGTATTTTTAATTTATGTAAATCAGATGTTCCTTCTATGAGACTTAGTGGATGAATTTTGGGACATTTGAATCCTATATACCTCATTCTAGTTTCTGAAACTACCGATTTGTTTTACATTTTGCTACAGGCAGTGATTTGACATTTTTTTGCTACAGGTAGTGATTTGAAAGAATTTACTCTTTGGTTCCAGCTGCATTTTTGTTTATTTGCTTTTTAATTTTTTTTTCTCATCAGAGGGAAATTGTTTTCCAGAATGGGATGGACTCATTTGTTGGCCCAGAGGAACAGTGGGGAAAATATCAGCTGTCCCCTGCCCTCCTTATATTTATGACTTCAATCATAAAGGTATTGGGTTTTTCTGAAACGGGTAGCTTGGACTGAAATGTACTTTTTAAAAATAGTGGTCTCTGAAGGACCTGAGCACTGTCATCGTTCTCTTCATGTCTTCACAGGCGTGGCTTTCCGACACTGTAACCCCAATGGAACATGGGACTTTATGCACAGTTTAAATAAGACATGGGCTAATTATTCAGACTGCCTTCGCTTTCTTCAGCCAGATATCAGCATAGGAAAGGTAGTGGTCATTTTGTATTTGTGAGCCCCTAAGGGGGAACAGAATAATTATTTTTATGCAATTTTTGATTGTCAACCATTATATGTAAAAACCTTTTATTCTATAACACGAGGATCATAAAAGATAAAAGCAGGGCTGTAATCTTTTCAGATACTGAAGGAAACATCTAGGACCAGAAACATCCTGTTATCTTCTTTAGGTTAGAGCGACCTGGCTGAGATATATACGTATCTACTTACGAATACGTGTCTATGTGTATTGTTGCATTACGTTATGTTTCCATTCCATTGTATTATGTATCAAGATTTAAATAAGTAATCAGCAACATGCTTCATGATTGCTTTTGATTATCTGTAAATGGCTGCTTCTCATCTCACGCCATATTCCAGGAGGAGCTTTGTATTTTAGAGTTGTATTTTCCATCTCCTAAGACTTGCTGGTAGTTGATTTTATTAGTATGTGAAAAATTAGAGTTGTAGAATTAAAGAGAAGTTTGGGGCTCCCATACGTTTTAATTTTACACACATGAGTCAACTCAGAACCAGGGATTTGCTGGTCAAAGTGACACAGCTCACTGGTGGAGGGTCTAAAGCAGAGCCCTGAACTACAAATTCCTCATCAGTGTTGTTTCTAGGACAGTAATCATATGAAAACTTTGAAAACTTCTAGATAGCTACTCTTTAAAAAAGTTTTTTTTTTCCTTTATTGAGTTTTAGAGAGAGAAGATGTGAGAAAGAGATAGAAACATCCATAAGAGAGAACATCGACTGGCCGCCTCCTGCATGCCCCCAGTGGGGTTCGGGCCCACAACCTGGGCATGTGTCCTGACTGGGAATTGAACCGGTGACCTCTTAGTGCATAGGTCGATGCTCAACCACTGAGCCACACTGGCTGGACTAGATAGTTACTTTTAAGTTACACATGGTTCTTTAAAAGTCACACTGAAACTCCTACCACTCAGACCTCATGAGTAAAATGCATGATGATATGTATGCACATGACACAAGAGTGAGCTTGATGAGTTGGTGCATAAGTGATTTTTATGAGAACCCTGAGAATAGTCATTATACATAAATTCTCCCAACCTTAGACATTTTTCTTTATGCTTGATGATATTTTGAAGGTGAGGGAGAGGTGAGAAATGGTGAGTTGAAGTTTTCTCTGATTTTGCATGGTCAGAACTTCCTTCCTTTCTTTTTTTTTCTCCTCACCAGAGGACATTTTTGCATTTATCTGCAGATAAAACAGGAGGGAGAAAGGAAGGAAGAGAGAGAGAAAAACATTGATGTGAGAGAGACACATCAAGTGGTTGTCACCCACACGACCCCAACCGGGGCCGGGGATGAACTGCAACTGAGGTACGTGCCCTTAGTGGGAACTGAACAGGGGCTGTCTGGTTCAGGGGCCGATGCTCTAACCGCTGAGCCAAACTGGCCAGGGCAGAACTTCCTTTCTTAACTTTTTTCTTTTCTAACATAAATTATTACCACCTAAATGAGCTCTTTAGTAAGTTGCTGGAAGATCTTCAGTTCGTATTTCATTGTTGACAAACTTCTTAGATACAATTAGTCAATGTGAAGTTGCTATATCCTCTCCAATTGAACTAAAGCCAACAACAACTTCGTATAAAATGCTTCAAAATTATTTCAATTTCCTTGACACAAACATTCACAATATTTAGGGTACTCCGTGATGAATTTATCTATGCATTTAAGGATGACAAATGCAAATTTTTCACAGGTTTTAAATGGCCTTTCAATTAAATCATGGTTTTATTTTCACTGAACTATAATTTTATGACCATTTTTTGTGATTTTATGTATTCCAAGATTCAAAATAGTGAAGGATGGTAATATATCCAAGATATATACTATGTTATATAGAATGATTTAAAAGTTAATTGAAAAATTTAAAGAGTTTTTTTTTTTTAAATTCTCACCCAAGGATATTTTTCCATTTATTTTCAGACAGAGTGGGAGGGAGAGAGAGAGAGAGAAAGAGAGAGAAAAATATCGATGTGAGAGAGACACATCGATTGGTTGCCTCCTGCCTGACCCCAACCAGGGCCAGGAACAGAAAGGCAACCAAGGTACATGCCTTTGACTGGAATTGAACCGTGACTGTTTGGTCTGGGGGCCAACGTTCCAACAGCTGAACCAAACCGTCCAGGGCAGAAAAATTTAGAGTTTTGTTAGCATCCATAATTTTATCTCCTTAATTAAAAATATAAAGAGTGTTTCTATTGTTTACAACCCTTAAGCAATACTTTGAGATAACTTAAGAAAAATAAATATTCTCTAAAAAGAAAACTGAATATCTCCTGATGTTTTGATACACTGTAGGGAAAATGATATTACTTATGTATGTGATATTAATTATTAATGGTTTAAAGATAAGTTTTATATAAGACACATAAATTGAAGTGTTCATTTAGAACAAATGCAACATTTTTGCAGGAGAAATAAGACTAATATTTTAAAACATCTGTTATTTTGTTTCTTAAATAATTTCCATATCATTGGCTTGATAAAATGAAATAATTACTTTTAATAAAAGGAAGGAAAAAATCTCTTATGATACATCACAAGTTATTAAATTCTTTAGCGTATGATATCTAAAACACTAGCATACTGTATAAATTACCATATAGAATATCTAATGTCTAAAGGCTATATGCATTCCTCGAAAGGAATTTAGCAACATATATTAAAAAAACTTCCAAAGGTTATATCCTTTGATCTTATAATCTTACTTCTAAGATTCAAGCAGAAGGATTTGGATTGGGGGGAACTAAATGGAAAAAAATCATCATTGAAAGATTAATAATTATTGTGAAGAATTAACATTTCCAATGATGAACTAGTTAATAAGCTCAAATTTTTTGTAAAGAGTTTGTAGCCTTGGGAAATTCTTTTCTTATACATTTAATTGAAAAATGACATTAACAAAAGAAAAATATTATATAATAAATGTATATAAATTGGGGATTAAGGTGTTTAAAACAATAGGCAATTATGCATAGAAATAGGATGAAAAGAAATATGTGAAATACTAACAGTGTTTCTTTTTGGTTGATGGGAATTTGGGAGTTTTTTTCTCTTCTATTTTGTATTTATACATTATCTAAATATTTTATTTAAAAAGTTTTAGCATTTTATTAACAGAAAATAATATGTAGCCCTGGCTGGTGTGGCTCAGTTGGTTGAGTGTTTCCCATGCACCAAAAGGTCACAGGTTCAGTCACCGGTCAGGGCACTTGCCCAGGTTGTGGGCTCACCCCCTGGTCGGGGTGTGTGCGGGAGACAGCCGACTGATGTGTCTTTCTCACATCGTTGTTTCTCTTTCTCTCTCTCCCTCTGGAGGCAGCATGCCAAAGGCAGGGACAGTACAGCTGGGCTCAGAGAAATACCCCAAGGTATGCGTGTGCCCTCACAGAGTGAAAGGCAGCAGTTAGCTGAGTGTGGGGCAGGACAGAGGGGCTGAGAGGCATGTTTTGAGGCACATGGGACCCTCACTAAGGGCACATACAGGCCAGGGAAAGTCCGGGCATCCCCAAGATGCACAGATTTCATTGCTTGAAAGGCAGCAGCCTGGCAAATAGAGCTGAGAAAGACTGTTCCCAGGCACAGGGCCTCCGTCTAAAGCAAGGCAGTGGCTCCCTGCCGGCTGGGGCAGAGCATCAGGGTGGAGTGAAATCCAGGAGAAGCGGGACGCCCAGGGCGGAGCTGGAGAGCAAAGTGCAACCCTCAGCAACTTAAAAAGCTGATGGATGGTTCAAAAAGCAGAAAGAATTCTGTGGCTGGGAAAGTGTCAGAGGAACTAAAACCCATATTATAGTCATGAGAGGCTGCTGATGCTCAGATCCTGGGGTCTGTCTTGATTTTGCTCTCAAAACTGAAAACCAGGATAAAAGAATCATAACAAACAGAAGCTACAACAAAGCCCAGTTCCAGTTTAAGAACAGAGTAGTCCAGCCACCCCACCAAGAAGCCCGATACAGGAAGAGGTCTGTTCTTTTCAGAATATTATCTACTCGGTCCCTACTATTTTTTTTTCTTTATTAATTTTTTTCAATTTTTATTAATTTATTTTTGTTACAGATATTTCTCCTCTTTTCCCCTTAGATGCCCTCCTCCCCATCCCGCCCGCCACCTCCCAGCCTTGTTGTCTGTATCCATTGGTTATGCATAGATGCATGTAAGTTCTTTAGTTCATTGCATCCATCCCCCCCGCCCCCCCTCCTCTGAGGTTTGTCAGTCTGAACCCTACTCTTTTCTATGTCTCTGGGTCTATTTCGTTCCCTACTATTCTTTTACTTACAATGTCCATAATATCATAAAAAAATTACAAGAGAGGGGCCCAAAAATCTAGAGTAAAAATAAGAGCAGAAAGAAACAGATGATCCAGATGTTAGAATTTGCAGATGGAGAACTCAATAATAACTATTATCAATATGTTAGATGATTTAGTGAAAAAGGTACATAAAACAGATGGGAAAACTAGCAATAAAAAAGAACAAACTTGATACATGCAATAACTTAAATGGATCTTGAGATCATTATTCTGAGTGAAAAAAAGCCATTCTCAAAAGGTCACGTAGTGTATGTATGATTCCTCTTACAGAATGTCTATAAAATGACAAAATGATAGAGATGAAAAATAGGTTGATGGTCGCCAGGTGTCAGGGATGGTGGGGAGGAGGAGGGCAGGCGTGACTGTACAGGGACAGCATGAGGGAGATCTTTGTGGTGATGGACTAGTTCTCTGTCATGGCTGCAGTGATGGCTATAAACATTTACGCCTGTTCAAATGACGTAGAACTGTAAACACACGAATTGCACCAATGTCAAATTCTTGGTTTTGATATTTTAATATAATTATGTTAGATGTAACCACTGGAAGATATTGGGTGAAGGGTACTGCAGCCTTTCTTACTATTGTGTCCACTTCTTATGAAATTTATAATTATTTTAAAATAAAAAAATTAAAAAGGGATAAATCATTGATTCCTGCAATGTTACTGAGTATCAAAATAGTATGTTGACTAAAAGAGTATATACTATCTAATTCTAAGAACTCCAACAACAGTCAAGAAGTATATGAAATATGTGAACAGATAGAGCTAATTCGTGGAGACAGAAATTGGAACAGGAGTTAGCTGGGGGCAGGTAGTGGTTTTTTAACTTGCAAGGGTCACAACAAACTTGGTTTATCAAAACCCATCAAACTCATTTAGGATTTGTATATCAGTTCAAGTAAATTATAGCTAAAAAATGGTTAAAGAAAGCTAGAAATAATATTCTAAAAATGACACATTCTTTTTACCCATTTCCTCTTAAAATAATCTTCTAACATGTGTTTGGTTTACTCCATATATCATAGGTCAGATATACAATTCCAATTGGTTAAAATGAGCAGTAAAAATATATATATATGGTAAATATTGCAACATTTAATTTGACCTCACTTAGGCAATAAGAAGTGCCAATTATCATTCTCACATCTTTAACCCTGACTAGAATTTAGGAAATAAGAGGAAGACCAGAAGGATAATTTATGGTATTATATGAATGTGATAGCACATTGATTCTCTCAAAACTGGTAAAAGCATGATATTTTGGTTTATTTACATCGACTAATCTGTTCAAGACTGTTTTCTAATTAAACCCCTTCCCCTGCAGCAAGAATTCTTTGAACGCCTCTATGTCATGTACACTATTGGCTACTCCATCTCCTTTGGCTCCCTGGCCGTGGCTATTCTCATCATTGGTTATTTCAGGTGAGTGATTCCTTCCCCGTTAAAGATGCAGAGGTCTCACAACTTGTGTCCCCAAATATTTTTCCCAACACAAGTTTTTAAATTCAGCCTAGTGTTACTATATTACTTGACTCTGATAATTTATTTGTTTAATGAGAAAGTCAGGGTTTTGTTTGTTTAAAATTTAAAGTATCAAAGAAGTATGGTACCATTAAGCCAACAGATCTGCATTGCAGTGTTTTTGTTTGCAAAGTGATGCAGAATGGAGTGAATGAGTAGCATAAATTTTCATTCACGATGAAAAGACTTATGTCACTTTTCCCAAATGACTTTGGTGGCATTGGACAGAAATTCATTCTAAATTTTCCAAATTATCTGATGTCATATATCAAGAAATAGTTCTTACTGCATTTGCTGTGGTTTATTTTTTATCTACTTATTTGTCCAAATTAATTCAACTTAATCTAAATCAACACAAAATTTGACCAAGAAGGAGATAAAATAGTAGTCAGCACATATAGGCCATATTACTCATGATGCTTGCCACTGGCTTGTGATGCAGATAGCTGGGAAAACAATCAGTCTACAGTTTGATCCAGTTGGCGTGGAGTAATTTTGGAGGGTAGAGGAAGGAAATGAGGGAAGACCCCCAAATAAAGGAAAATCTCAAATCACACCTGAGTACAAATCAGATCTTACCCAAAGAGGAAATGGTTGGAGAGAGCTCCTAACCTAAGTTGAGATCAAGGAAAAGCATAGAATATTTGAGGTCAGAATTTTGGTACAGAATTTTAGAATTTTGATGCTCATTGAGACAGAGGTAAGCAGGGATGAGAAGGTATTGAGATCTATCGGCCTTAAGGAATTGAAGGGTACCTTCAGACCCATGAGGAGCCACTGAAGGATTTTAAGCAGATCGTGGCATGCGTTGTAAAGTGGGGTGTGAGCTGGTGGGAAGCCAGGTAGGAAGCCCATGTGGACGAGGCCGTCGATATAACCCCAGCCTAGAAGACAGTGGCCTGGTCTGGGGCAGTGGTGCTGTAGATTGGATAGAAATGGATGGTTTTGAGATACATTAATTATGGTAGTACAAGTTTATGACTTAGTGCTAAATTATGTGTGGGAAAAGGGACTGAGGGTAGATGACATATTTAGAAAACTAAAATAGAGAATTTAGAAAGCTAACAGAAACCACGAGTAGAAAAACTTTTATATTTCGTTTTCTATCATAATCTTCTCTCCTTTGAAACATCTCGTACCCATTTCCTGCTTTGTTATTTCCTTTGATTTATTGCTATCTAATGTACTACCTGATTTACTTATTTATCATTTTATTTTTTCTCTCCCTCTGTTTGCTCATTGCTGCATTTTCAGTAGCTACAATGTACTTGTTCTCAAATATTTGTTGAGTAAATAAGTAAATAGTTCCAATATTTCAATAACTTCTCCTAATACAGTTACCCATAACGCAGTGGTACAGTTTATATTTACAAAGCTTTTTCTTTATTGATTCACAAGTCCATTTATTCAACAAGCATTTTTCTCTACCATGTGATAGCCCCTTTTTGGTATCCATGGAGGCCAAGGAAAGATACGATGCAGGTCTGAGAAGTAGTATATACACCCTGGAGAGAAACTGACCCATTAAATGATTATCAAATAAAATATTGTTAGTACTGTGATACCGGTTTCCATAAAGGGCTTTGGGAATACCGAGGAAGCAGTCTGAAACTGACAAGATGAGAGAAACTTGCCAGAACATCTGACCTGTGAGCTGAAATGGAATGAGAAGGAATTCAGCACATTCTAAAGGGTGGAAACAGAATGTGCAAAAGTCAGAGGCACAGAGGAGCTGAGTCCACTCAGGAAACAGAAGTGTCCCATAGGAATGCAGCCTTTGGTGCATAGGGAGAAGTGGTCATATTGCAATGTTCAGGAAGAGACTAGATTTTGTGACTCTAGGCTTTGCAGGTCCTTGTCAAGGGCTTTCAGTTTGGCTTCTAAGAGTAAGTAACATGCCCGGCCGGTGTGGCTCAGTGGTTGAGCATCGACCCATGCACCAAGAGGTCGCCAGTTTGATTCCCTGTCAGGACACATGCCTGGGTTTTGGGCCTGATCCCCAGTGGGGGGCATGCAGGAGGCAGCCAATTGATGTTCTGTCTCTTCGATGTTTCTATCTCTCTCTCCCTCTCCCTTCCTCTCTCTCTAAATAAAATAAAATAAATTTAAAAGTAGGTAACAGGGAGCCAATGAAAGTTTTAAGTAGAAAGGTAACACAATCCCAGTTGTGAGATTATAAAGGGGTTCTCAAAATAGCCTTGTGAAATAGGCTTGGCAGATATTACCCCATTTTAGAGACCAAGAAAATAAAGCTTAGTGTCTAAGGCCACAGCTGATAAGTGGTCCAGCTGGAAACAGGACCTTCATTTCCTGACTCCTAGCCAGACGTCATTCCATTGCACCAAGCTTAGCTGTGCGTGTTCAGAATAGTAGAGAAGTATTTGTGAGAGACAAAATTTCAGGGGGATGCCAATGATTAATAATTCTTCAGTTTACATAATAGTTCATCACAGTATTTAACAGTAAATTCTTTCTATATAATTACTTTATATGTAATTGCATATTATACAGAAAAAGTTAAACAAAAAGTTCAGAAACTCTTCTGCTTCACAAAACAAAATACTCCTTTATTGGGATAGTAAGTGTTGTCTTGGAAAAATCAAAACCTGCTTAGTTACTGTGATGGCACCACTCACAGTAAATAGCTGCTATGTACACTTGATAAACTATCTGGCCAAACACTGCTCACCTGTGAAGACACTCCCAGTGAAGGGTGAATCTGAGAGGCCCTTCTGGGCACAATGGACATAAATACGTGTCCCTAACATACTAACACTGTAACACTTTCAGAATATCTAAATTTAGCTTATTCTTATTTGACTTTCCATCCTACATTATGAAATAGAAAAATAGATTCTTGGATTAAAAATGTTCTTATTCCCTTACATTTGGGTGCTTTGTCTTCTGGAAGAGGAGTCATATCAGTGTGTTTATTATACAGGAAAGTTGTGTTTTCTCACAATCAAGCAATGGAGAGGTGAGCCTTTTGGCCAGATTATACAACCCTTTTCCTAGAGGATTTCTTCATCAAACTTGAAGAAAAACTCTTTTTTTGGAGTTAGCTTTCTGTACTGGAAATTAGTGTTACTATGTCTAACATACGAAGTATGCTACTGATTGACTCTGTGATCCTTTTATCATTCCAATGCTCTTTATATTCAAATAAGCTGGTTTACCCTTTAAACTGCCTAGAAAATAAAATTGTATAATGTTATAATATCTTACTTTTTCACATAGAGAATGTATTTAAAATGTGAAAGTTCCAGTTTTAATAATGTTTCATCTTTGTTCAAGTGGTTCTCCACTAACCACTATTACTTTAATATACAGTGTAATATATATAGATATAATTTAGTATAATATTAACACTGCAAAATATGAATGAACATGATAGCAGATAAGGATAAATTTGAAATTAATTCCCTAAAAGTTACATTTTAGTTTTTGATCCCAATTGTTTCTATTGGGAATATATGATAATGAGTTTCTGTCTTTGTTCAGGTTTATTATATTTTCCTCTTTTTTGGGGAGGAGTTTGGGCTCACTTAGGTATTTTCTTTGCCCATTTCTATTTTTATCCAAATCTATAATTGATTATTTTCTCTCCATAGACGATTGCATTGCACTAGGAACTATATACACCTGCACTTATTTGTATCTTTCATGCTGAGAGCTGCAAGCATCTTTGTCAAGGACAGAGTGGTCCATGCTCACATAGGGGTAAAGGAGCTGCAGTCCCTGATGATGAAGGAGGACCTACAGAATTTCATAGATGTGCCTTATATGGATAAATTGCAATATGTAAGTGTTTTCACCATTTTCTCTCATTACTCATTGGTATAACATTACACATAAGTAAAATTCCACAGTCGACTAACTATATGTTAGTTGTTTTGGCTTATCTTATCTCTGGACTAACTGAAATAGATGACCAATTTGTATACCGATGCTTACTATTTCAATTCCGTTCTCAAATCTCATGCCTAATCACTCATTCAGGAATGTTCTGGAATGGAAATGTCAAACAGCGCATAATCAGAATGGCATCTGATGTACAGCCCATAGCAGCTGTCACCACTTGCGAAAGTAAAAAGCCCAAAACCAGAAGCTTGGGATTTAAAGGCCCATGACATCCAGCTCCTTTATTGTAGACTCACAGACTTGTTTCAAAATAAATTCTATCACACTTGATTCTGCTGTTAAATGTCCTGGTGTTATTTAGTAAATAGGATCATCCAATATTTCAGTTAACTGAATCTTTAAAGCAATATATCTGGAAATTAAGTATACTAGATTAATTGTCTCTTTGGTGCAAATTAATGCCCTATCTGTATCTTTGTCCTTTGCCTCGTAGCTTTGTATTCCATGCTGCTTCAGATTCCAGACTGGCTCTGTGACTCGTTTTACATAATAGAACTAAGTAGAAGTGATAGTGTGCCAGTTGAGGTCAGAACTGCATGCGTGAGCCTAGCCAACCAAGATCAGCTGAGCCTGGCCCGGATCAGCAGAATCACCTAACCAATTCACAGATGTATTACTAGTTTATTGTTTTAAATAATTAACTTTTGGGCATAAATAAAAGACCAGAATAAAATATATTTATGGTAGAATGATGGATAATATTTTCTTCTTTATGCTTTTCTGTACTTTTCTAATTTTCTCGAATGATCATGAATACTTTCTATAAACAGGAAAAATTAAGAAAAAGTGATTTTTTGGTAATTTCTAAAGGCAAAAATTTCACTTAAGAAATAGAATCAAACCTATAATCTTTTTTTTTTGGTACGTGCCCCTAGCAGGAACCGAACCTGGGACTCTCTGGTCCGCAGGCCAATGCTCCAACCGCTGAGCCAAACCGGCCAGGGCCAAACCTATAATCTTAAAAATGTTTTGGCAAACTAGCCTGGCTGGTTTGGCTCAGCAGTTAGAGCGTCAGCCTGTGGACTAGAGAGTCCCAGGTTTGGTTCCTGCTAAGGGCATGTATCTCAATTGCAGTTTGTCCTGGCCCCCATTGGGGTTGTGTGGGTGGTGACCACTTGATGTGTCTCTCTCACATCGATGATTCTCACTCTCTCTTCCTCCCTCTCTCCCTCCTGCTCAATCTGAAGATAAATGCAAAAACGTCCTCAGGTGAGGATTAAATAAATAAATAAATAAATAAATAAAATAAAATAAAAATGTTATGTCAAACTAATTTTGTCCTAGTCTTTTCAACAGCCTTGACCTTCCTATGTATAAGAGACATACATTATAAAAAGGAAAATGAAGACTTGCTTTTCAGTTGTCTAATGTTGGCACTCAGGACAATTAGGAGTTCTAATATGATGCAATTCTGGTTTATTTGTAACAGATTGGGTGCAAGATCGCTGTTGTGATGTTTATTTACTTCTTGGCGACAAACTACTATTGGATCTTGGTGGAAGGTCTCTACCTGCATAGTCTGATTTTTGTGGCTTTCTTTTCTGACACCAAATACCTGTGGGGCTTCACCTTGATAGGCTGGGGTAAGGAAATTGTCTCTTTTTCTTTTAAACTATATTATGGATTTTAGGGCTTTCTGTCATGCCTATAATTAACATTCTTTCAACCGTTTTTCTAAAATAATCCCTCCTCATTTTATCTTTATCCTTCCTTTTTTCTCTTTCATTGTTCACCAAGGAAAATTATAAGAGCAGATCTATAACCCTCGCAGTGGCTACAGTCCTTCACGGTTAACATACGGCCAGTGTTCTCAGGCCAGATTCTTTTTTTTGTTAATCCTCACCCGAGGATATTTTGTCATGGATTTTTAGATAGCATGGAAGGGAGGGAGGGAGATAGTGAGACAGAAACATTGGTGTGAGAGAGACACATCGATTGGTTGCCTCCCATATATCTCTGACTAGGGGCAGAGATCAAACTTGCAACTGAGGTGCATGCCCCTGACCAGGAATCAAACCCGTTACCCTTTGTTTGTGGGTCGATGCTCTAACCAATGAGCCAGACCAGCCAGGGCTAGGCCAGATTCTTTTTTATTTTTTTAATTTTTTTTTATTTTATGAAATTTTTTTTATTTTTTGTTACAGATATTTTACCTTTTTACCCCATTGACACCTCCCCCCCCCACCCTGTCCCCGTCTTAGTTGTCCATGTCCATTGGTCATGCATACATGCATATAAGTTCTGTAGTTTATCTCTTCCCACCCCCCCACCCCCCACCCCCTCTTCTGAGGGATGTCAGTCTGTGCCCTACTTCCATGTGTCTGGGTCTACTGTATTCCTCAGACTGTTATGTTCATTATATTCCGTATATAAGTGAGATCATGTGGTATTTGTCTTTTTCTGCTTTAGGTCAGATTCTTGAGAGGATTCTTTGGTGGAAACATAAGAGAACACGTTGTTAGTCACACACATTTAGAGCTGCTCTGTTCACATCTTATGTCAATGTCCTGATTTAGCAATAATTTCATCTTAAAATTTTTTATTTTTTTTATTTCTTAGCTATAATTGCTCATCATTGATTTATTTGTTCTTTTTCTTTTTCTTTCTTTTTTTTACTCTCACCTGAGGACATTTTTGCATTTATCATCAGATAGAGCGGGAAGAAGAGAGGGAGGAAGAGAGAGAGAAACATCGATGTGAGAGAGACACATCGACTGGCTGCCACCCACATGACCCCTGGTACGTGCCCCCAGCAGGAACCGAACCCAGGACTCGCCGGTCTGCGGGCCGATGCTCTAACCACTGAGCCAAACTGGCCAGGGCTCATCATTGATTTGTATGATGAAAATGCCAGAAAGGAATTTATAACATCATCTTGACTGCATGTAAAAATACAAATTATAAACCAATTATATAGATTTACTATGTATTTTGGATGGAAATAATTCAAATTACTTATGGGATAAGTAATTAAAGAAAAAGATATTCGGCTCACATTTCAAAAATGTCTTAGCCATACTAGAGGGATCACTGGACTAGGCACTAATGCAACATGATGTGGAGAAAAGGACGTTGTTTGTTAAAATGTAAGAGAAATTATAACTTATATGTGGTTAAGTTTCAGGATTAACAATTGCATATCACAATTACTATTTTAATATTTAAATTATGAGGCACTTAGCATAGGAAATAAATGAATTAAATGGCTCAAGATCAAATTTGAAGACCTCCCCACCCCCAAATCAGAATATTTCTGGGCCCATTTTGCCTTAAAATTGTTTGAAAATGTGAAGTGAGAAATATCGAATTCCTTGCTAGTTAATTAATAACCTTTAAGAAGACAAAGGGTCAACTTACTATAATACTTCACTTATTATGAAATAATGATTGTCATGAATAAAGTTTTATTTCAGAAGGCAGCTTGTCTGTTTTAAGGCTCTCCTGTATCTTTAACTAGCAGCTACTAAAAATAAAAAAACACATTGCATTTTTTAGGGTACTTTAAATTTATTTTTGACACTTTTGGTAATTTGACTTCAAGTCTAAATTAATTGTATCTGTGTACCAACATAATTACTAGATGTTGGTAAAAGTGTGAATAGAAAATTTCACAATAAAGGCAGACATTTGTCTGAGTTACGTTGCATTTTTTTTTTTTAATTTCTACAGCACTGGTCACACTTGTTATACATTCCTTTTTCTCTGTTTACTTGTTGGTTCGATAGCTAACTTCTCCGTCAGCTCTTACTTGGGCTGTAGCAGTCAACTCTGTCCCTCCTTATAGTAAGGAGTTTGTTTCACTGAAACCAGGAAACTAGTTTTCAAGTCTTGCAATGAAAGAGTTAAAAAAAGTCCAGTGAGCCCTGGCCGGTTTGGCTCAGCGGTTAGAGCATCGGCCTGCGGTCCAGAGAGACCTGGGTTCAGTTCCCGCTAAGGGCACGTACCTCGGTTGCAGTTTGTCCCCAGCCCTGGTTGGGTCGTGCGGGTGGCAGCCACTCAATGTGTCCCTTTCACATCGATGTTTCTCTCTCTCTCTCTCCCTCCCACTCTATCTGAACAAAAAATGGAAAAAAAAATGTCCTCGGGTGAGGATAAAAAAAAAAAAAAAAAGTCCAGTGAGCTTCTATGTAAGTATGAGTTTTTTTCTTTTTTTTCTTTTTTTACAACTTTTATTAATTTATCCACAAAAATGTTGACATAGGAATGATGACTGAAGTAGATAAGCATCATTCCTTGAAATCATTTTATCAAATGGTTTAAGAACACACTTTAAAGCAAGTAGGGTTTACATGAAAGCTCACTTTGAAAAAGCATTTTACATGCAATATTATGCTCACTCAATCACAATCTAAAATGCTAATAACCAATCTTTACAGAGTTGTGATTCTGGAGTTGGTCTATCTTCGGACTTCCTCTCTTTTTTTCTGTATTGATTTTAGAAAGAGAGGAAGTGAGAGGGAGAGAGAGATAGAAACATCAATGAGAGAGAACATTGATTGGCCGCCTCCTACATGTCCGCACTGGGGATCGGGCCCACAACCTGGGTATGTGCCCTGACTGGGAATCAAACCGGCGACCTTTTGGTGCATGGGTCAACGCTCAACCACTGAGCCACACCGGCCTGATGGACTTTCTCTCTTTTAAACTCTATTTTTTTTTTTTTAAGTAAATGCTGGAGTCTAAGGTATAATGAAAAGAATAGTAATATTCTTTGAAGAATATCTCTCTGCTACTCAAGCATAGCTACTATTTAATGAAGTAAGTATCTATTTGATTAATAGACTATTTTTCTCTCATCTCAACACTGAGAGTCTGATTTTAAAACATTTTTATTTCTTACTCATTTTTCCAAATTCCTATGAGAAAAATAATGATAAAAAACATTACAGCTGCTTTGCCATGATCATTTGCTAGAATAATTTAGAGTGAATTCAGTTTTATCCTTTCTTTCAATGGTATGATTTATTGGCTTCACTAGGGAAGAGAGCTTGTTTGGATTCCTTGGTTATTCATTTGGACCCAATCAGTATAACTTTCAACTCTCCCCTGCTGGGTTACATTATTTATACCAATTTTACTGATCTTTAACAATCAGTTGGAAGAGAACGAAATAACAATCTGAAGAGGAACAGATGTCACATCTGACCTTTAGTAAATCGAAGGCAAATATTTAAAATGTCTTTTTACATAGCTTTATCACAAAACAAGATATATAGAGGAATAAGGACAAATACTGGTGACGACTATGCTTCTTTTCTTTCAACCAACCTCATTCTTCATTTTCTCTATCTCTGCCTCGGTTTTCTCATAAATACGCTATTTTATTCTTAGATCCATTTTGTTCTTTCAATTACACATTTTTTAAAAAAATTCTCGCCCAAGGACATTTTTTGCATTTATCTTCAGATAGAGCAGGAGGTAGAGAGGGGGGAAGAGAGAGAGAGAAACATCAATGTGAGAGAGACACATTGACTGGTTGCCACCCACACAACCCCAACGAGGGCCAGGGACAAACTGCAACCAAGGTACATGCCCTTAGCAGGAACCGAACCTGGGACTCTCTGGTCTGCAGGCCGACACTCTAACAGCTGAGCCAAACCAGCCAGGGCTCAACTACACGTTTAAAAAATATAGTTAGTTCTATATCTAAAAGGCGTCAGTCTTATTTCTTTATTCTTATTGAATGTAATTTACCATTCTTAATTTTCAACTGTCAGATGAAATGTCAAAATGTGCATATTATCATATAAAAGCACCTTTTCTGGTTATAATAGCGTGTAGTCATGTCCCCTATTGCCAAGCTCTCATGCAGAATATTTTCATGTTTTGTATTCTCTGAAAATAATCAGAAGGTGCTACATTTCCAGTTTCATTATCTCTGTATAAAATGATCCTCAATCCAGTAAACATTGTCTGATCATCCATTTGGCAGCAAATTTCATTGAAATACGGAGGTTTGTGTAGAGTCCTCACACACAAGAAGCATGCAGTCTGACCCTTTAGGTTATTTTACTTTTTGTTTGTCTGTTCTGATGATATGTGTTGAATTCAAAATATTTAATTTATAAAATGTGTTTATATAACTATGAAATTCAGCACAACACCTTTGCACAATCAAAAATCTCCTTGTTTGCTGCAAACACAATATACAAATCTAGAAAAATATCTCTCCCTTTTCCTATGATTTTTAATGTCATTATTAATTCTACTGAAGGTTACCTTAAAGTTAAAATTATATTAACCATTAGAGTCAATGAAAGATCTATATTTTGGTTTTATTTTATGAAAGATAAGGAACTTGGTTTTCTCTGCTTATCACTTTCCCCACAATTTTAAGATATAGCTTGGGGTCTTACTCAATTATTTAAAATTACATGGATTATTACCTCTTTAAACGAAAATAAATTATAGTTAACTTTAGATTCAATTTGTAACAATTATGTAGATTTATCTCCATGGATTTACCTGGGTTCAAGATTCTACCTCCTCTCCACCAATTTGATTTTCTACAGTTTCTGCCCATGGGCAGTACTTAATTAAGTAAACATACTTTTCTTTCCATTGTAACTCTTCTATTTCAGACTGGTCCTTTTATTTATTTTTTTAAATCCTCACCTGAGGATATTTTTCCATTTTTCTTCAGATAGAGTGGGAGGCAGGGAGAGAGAGAGAAAGAGAAACATCAATGTGAGAGAAACAGATCAGTTGGTTGCATCCTGCACGACCCCAACCAGGTACTGCCCTTGACCAGAATCAAGCCCGTGACTCTTTGGTCCATGGACTGACGCTCTAACCACCGAACCAAACCAGCCAGGGCAGACTGGTTCTTTTTTATTAATGCCTTATTCTATTTTGTGGGTTATGAATTAGTTATATTTTTTTAAAGATTTCTTTTGTTTCCTGTAGTAATTCTATCACAGGAGGAGGTAGCTTTTCTACAGTTTCATAAATAGACACTCTTCTTTGTAACAATGAAAGACTTCCAAAGGCTCTGCAATTTTCCTGACAGAGAGATGCATTTATTCAGTATTGGCTTAGAGTCCAAGAGAACAGCTGTGCCAAAATTATATGGAGGGACTTTTAGTTTCCTTAAAGGATGCATCAGCAGGCGATGGGTTCAGCATCCCGATGGGCATGGTGAGGCAACCGGGGGCACCGCCTGGAGCTCCATGTCTGTGTAGCTCCTGGCAGTCAGTGTAGCCGGATTCCCAGGGGCTTCAGGGTTTTTGGTTTCTAAGACGCCGTACATCTGTAGCAAATCTAGGAATCCCCCTGTCATGACGGGTCACTACCTTTAGGACTAACTGTACACTTTCTATGATCAGTCTATGATTTACAGGACTCTGATAGCACACGATTAGGGTAAGGCCGAGGTAGGGCGCTGTGAAGACTCCGAAGTGTCCAAACCAAGATGACACTACGGAGACCAAGACAGAGACCCTATTCCTCCTCTTTGGCTTCACAGCATCTCTTTTTTTTTTTAAATCCTCATCCGAGGACATTTTTCCATTTTTTGTACAGACAGAGTGGGAGGGAGAGAGAGGAAAAGAGAGAGGGAAACATTGATGTGAAAGGGACACATCAAGTGGCTGCCACCCGCACGACCAACCAGGGCCGGGGACAAACTGCAACCGGCATCTCTTTTTTTTTTTTTTTCCATTTTTTAGTTTTTTTAAAATCTTTTTTAAAAATTTTACTTTTGTTACAGATGTTTCTCCTTTTTTACCCCATTGACACCCTCCTTCCCATCCCCGCCGCCCAGTTCCCCGCTTTGTTGTCCATGTCCATTGGTTATGCGTACATGCATATAAGTTCTGTGGTTTATCTCTTCCCACCCCCACCACCCCGTCTTCTGAGGGTTGTCAGTCTGTACCCTACTTCCATGTTTCTGGGTCTACCCTAGTCCTCAGACTGTTCATTATATTCCATATATAAGTGAGACCATGTGGTATTTGTCTTTTTCTGCTTGCTTGTAAAGGATAAGAGATCTTTCTTTCTTACAGCTGCATAGTACTCCATTGTGTATATGTGCCACAGCTTTTTTATCCATTCGTCTACTGATGGACACTTGGGCTGTTTCCAGATCTTAGTTATTGTAAATAGTGCTGCTACAAACATGGGGGTACATATATTCTTTGCAATTGGTGTTTCAGGCTTCTTAGGGTATATTCCTAGAAGCGGGATCACTGGGTCAAATGGAAGTTCAATTTTTAATTTTTTGAGGTAACACCATATTGTTTTCCATAGTGGCTGCACCAGTCTGCATTCCCACCAGCAGTGCACTGGAGTCCCCCTTTCTCCACACCCTTGCCAACACTTGTTTAATGATTTGTTGATGCATTTTTAGTTTTTTGAGGAAACACCATATTGTTTTCCATAGTGGCTGCACCAGTCTGCATTCCCACCAGCAGTGTGCTAGGGTTCCCTTTTCTCCACATCCTTGCTAGCACTTGTTGTTTGATGATTTGTTGATGGCGGCCATTATAGCAGGTGTAAGGTGATATCTCATAGTCTTTTTAATTTGCATCTCTCTGATGATTAGAGATGTTGAGCATTTTTTCATATGAGCATCTCTGTTTTAATGCAGTGGGCTGCTGAATGTGTTTTTATTTGAAAAAAGGGTTTAATCACTATAACATTTTGACCATTAGTCTAAACCTTCATTAAAAAAAAAGTATCTTTATTATTGAAAGTATTGACAGATGTCCCCTCTTCTTCCCCCATTGACCCCCTCCGCCCTGCTCCTGCCTCCCCTGGGCATTCATTGAACTATTGTCTGTGTCCACGGGTTAGGCATATATGCATATAAATTCTTTGGTTAATTTCTTCCCACCACCCCTCCCCCTTGCCTCTGAGATTTTTCAGTCTGTTCCATGCTTCCATGACTCTGGATCTATTTTGTTCATCAGTTTATTTTGTTCATTAGATTCCACATATAAGTGAGATCATGTGATACTTGTCTTTCTCTGACTGGCTTATTTTGCTTAGCATAATACACTCCAAGTCCTTTCATGTTGTCTCAAAGGGTAAGAGATCCTTCTTTTTCACAGCTGCATAGTATTCCATTGTGTAAATGTACCACTGGAGAATACTAATGGAGTCATGCCATAACCCAAGTCCACTTATTCTTAGACCAGAGATTGCTTCCCTCCCAAAGTCACTTATTTATACTGACATATTTTATGTCAGCTCCCATAGTGAATGTGTATATTGAGTAACATTCAAATTTCCATTAAATTGACTTAACATTTAAATTTAAAATAACATCTGAATTTCAAACATTTTTTTCTGTGTTTATGTGTTCTCCATTATGTAATATTGTGATACTAAGATTGGTGATCAAAAGAATCTTACAGAACCCCAAAGTGGTTTCTGTTCATCATTCCTTCGTGGTTGTTTCTACACTGGTCTTATGAATGAGGGTCTCCCAAGAGAATGAGAAAAGCAATTTTTATTAAGAAATGGTGCTTATTATATTTGTTATAATTATCATCCAAAACATAGTTCTAACTCAAGTGCCATTAATTAATGCACATAGCACATCATTCAGGAAATTGCCTAATCAGGAGATTGTAAAGGAAGCAGAAGATAAAAACCTGCAAATGAAAAAATGTGGAAACTTTGCTCAAAGGAAGACAGCCACTTTTTAAAGATAGCCAAGGCAGCAGAATAGCACGGGCATGGTGTCGGGCCTTTCTGAACCATCCTGCAGAAGAAGCTGTGCTTTCTCCATCACATGGTGTCATTCTTGTTTGTCTTCATAGTGCTATTGATAAACAAAGTTGTGTTAGGAATTTTGCCTCCCACAGCATAATATAAGTTTCAGGAAAACAGGGATGTTGTTGATCTGTTCATTGTTTTATCTTCAGAGACTAGAACAATCCTTGACACATAAATAGGCACTTAATAAATGCTTACTAGATGTGTGGTTAGACAGGTGGATGGATGGATTGATGGCTAGATAGATTGGAAGGTAGATATATAGATACAGACAGATAGGATGTGTGAGCTGAACCTAAGAATTAACTAATCTATTTTGACAAAAACAAATTTCTGGAAGATAGAATTCAAGCCATTTTTTAAAAAAAATAGGAGTTACATACAACCAATAAATAAAATTGAAATGTAGAATTATGAAATTAAATAATCTCACAGGCATGTTGAGGTTAAATTCAATTAGGTGATTGCGGAGGAGACTTTTGTAGGGTATAGTGTCTTATTTTCATGAAAGTTTTTTCATCTGAATCTATTTCTTTGTTCACTTTTTTTGCTAAGAAGGAATATCTGAAAAATTACAAATGTTTTTAAAAAGTAAAGAATTTAATATTGTGTTTAATAAAAAATGTTCTAAGTTAGATTAAAACTTTTTTGCTCCCTTTGTAAGGTGCTTGCAATTTTCTGTAGTGTTTTCATTATAGTCTTTCTCTCTCTTTTCTTTAAACCTCCTTTATAGAGACCACATAATATTATTCCCTAAATCCTTTGGTCCCCCATTACAATGTTCCACAAAAGTTATGGTTTGTATTTTCTTTTTGTGATGTCAGAGTCTAATAACTGTAGCACGAACTGAACAGTCAGCTTTCTTGGGGGCAAAGGACTTGTGGGAACTCAGGATAGTAGATTTGATATCGCAAGCTCACAAGGTGTTTATCTTTCATGACGGACAAACTCATCCTCCTAGCATAGCGACCACCCTTTGCTAGGTTTCCTTTTTTTTTTTTTCCATCCTCACCTGAGGACATTTCTCCATTTTTTGTTCAGATAGAGCGGGAAGGAGAGAGAGAGAGAGAAACATCGACGTGAAAGAGACACATCGAGTAGCCGGCTGCCACCTGCACGACCCAACCAGGGCCAGGGACAAACTGCAACCGAGGTACATGCCCTTAGCAGGAACCGAACCTGGGTCTCTCTGGCCCACAGGTAGACGCTCTAACTGCTGAGCCAAACCGGCCAGGGCCTCTTTGCTAGGTTTTCAATGTGTGCAAATGCTCCTGCCCTGAGCCAACATGAACCACGAAAAGAGGCTAGACTGAGCAAAACGTCCTGATTTCGTAACTCGCAGAAGGGCCTCTCTGTGGCTTCCACTTTTAGAATGAAAACTTTTACGTTGTTTGAAACAACAGCCTCCTTGCGGCTCCTCACGAGCCCTTCTTGTTTCACTCGAAAGCACGTGGCTGCCAGTGAGTGTGGCAAGAGACACACGTGCGCGTACCCGCCGCCGCCTGCTTCTGGCCTGGGAGCTTCGGTCCACCCGGGATAGCCTGACCCTGCATCTCTCGAATGGAAACAGGGCCAACCTTCATCTTCAGACTTTTGGGACCAAACAACACCCCTGTATTGGCTCACTTCTCAAATGGACAAGATGAAAATGAGAACTTTTCTAGTTCACATAGTAACATTTTTCATGTCTGTTTTTCCTCTCTCAACTTTTAATAGTATATATTTTTTGTGTGATGAAATAAGGAAAAAAAAAAACCCTTCATCTGAAAAAGTACATGCTCTCTGCCTCCTTTTCTGATTGCAGGGTTCCCTGCAGTATTTGTTGCAGCCTGGGCGGTGGCACGGGCCACGCTGGCGGACGCGAGGTGAGTGGCAGGACGGGTAAAGGCAGGAGGGCATTCAGCTGCCTGCGGTGTGCTCTCATGGTCAGACTTACTGCTGTGGGCAGAACTGTGTCTCCCCAGAATTATCTGTGGTAGCCCCAACCGCCATTGTGACTGTATTTGGAGATGGGGTCCACAGGGAAGTAATTCAGGCTGAATGAGTCGTAAGGACGGGGCTCTGATATGATAGGATTAATGTCCTTATCAGAGTTCCTGTCTCTCCATGTGCAGACAAAGTAGAGTCCTCATGGGCACACAGCAAGCCACAGGAAGAGAGGTCTCACCAGAAATGGGCCTTGCTGGCACCTGGATCTCGGACTTCCAGCCTTTAGAAGGGGAGGAGATAAATTCTATTGTTGAAGTCACCCAGTGTGTGATCTATTGTAATGGCAGCCCGAGCAGACTCATACACTCCATTACGTGAGAAGGTGGTTTCAAGAGAAACAGCTTTGAGTCAACCCAGCTGCAGTCATGTTGATCAATGTTTCATGTGAACAGAGTGCAATTTAATGCCCACTGATGGTGTACATTTCATGGCAGGACATTTTGTTAGCTCCTGGGATCCTCTTTTTTTTTTTTTTATATCCTCACCCGAGGTCACTTTTGCATCTATCTTCAGATAGAGCAGGAGGGAGAGAGGGAGGAAGAGAGAGAGAGAGAGAAACATTGATGTAAGAGAGACACATTGACTGGTTGCCACCCACACGACCCCAACTGGAGCTGGGGACAAACTGCAACCGAGGTACGTGTCCTTAGTGGGAACCGAACCCAGGACTCTCCAGTCTGTGGGCGGATGCTCTAACCGCTGAGCCAAATTGGCTGGGGTGGGATCCTCTTTTTAGTTTGAGCCAACATGTTTGTTTTGAGTTACTAGGTATTTTCTTCAGAAGTCATTTGTCTGCTATGCAGTGAAAAAAAAAAAAGCCACATTATGTGAGCATGTGAACAGGAGAAAGAACCTGCCGCTGTTTCCGAAAATCCGAACTCTGTAGATCACTGTCTTCGGGCTCAGCCCTCCCACTACTTGCTCCCAAGCTCCCCACTCATCAGCCTCCCTCAGTTCTAGATCGTACTGTACTGTCTTTGCATTTTTACTCACCTCTCTCTCTTCCTGATGTTTGGATTTGTTAGCAATGGAGGGTTAATGTTATCTACACTGTTGTTGTGGGTGTAAGATATGTCCAAACCTGTAGAAAATTTTTAGAAGCGTTTATATGTGCCAAACTGACAATATAAGTTGGGGATCAACCTCTCAAAGGCTCTGGAGAATAACAGTTTTGCAGCCTCTTTTGTACATTTGAAATTAAGTGTGGGACCTGAGGAAGGCTGGAGAAAGCAAGGTGAGGATTTGCTTACAGAACAGATAGTGAGATTATGTGCTCTCCTGAGGGGTCATACCCCTTTCCAGGGGTATCCCTCTGTTTTTTTGCTTTTTTATTCTTTGTTTTGAAAGTGTGTTTATTACAGCCGGGGACAGTGAAACAAGGAAGGAGTTAGGCTAGAAGAAGCAATGGGAGAACCTAGGCAGGGCTGCTTGGCTCTAGAAACGTTACAGCAGCGGTTTCCAACCAGTGTGCTGCGAGAATGTTTAAAACATGCAGGACCTGGCTATTTAGTCAGGGCTGCTGACCTCTTCTCCCTTAGATTGCCAGGTAAAAAGATGACAACAGCCAACGCAACAATAGCCGTCCAGTGTGAATGACTCAAAATGATATATTTTTTGTCAAATTGGCAAAAATAGAATATCTTTTTGGTGTGCTGAGAATATGAATAATTAGTTTATGTATGCCATGAGATGCAAAGGGTTGAAAATCACTGTGCCGGAACACATCAGGACAGAAATGAGCCCAGGTAGAGTTGCGTTGGCTCATTGGAGTTAGAGAAAAGGGGCCTTGGAGCCAGGCTCTGGGGGTTAGCCTGGGACAGACTGCCACTGCCATTGCTCTCCTGGTTGCAAGTCTCATGGGGACCTTAGAGTTTAGGGGATGCATGCCTGAGGGGGAGCAGGGGAGGGGAAGGCTGGGTGTACTCCTGGGAGGGAGAGCGCCACTTCTGGTATTTTGAAGGTGTGTCAACCTAGACAAATAAGAACAATGGACAGGGCTGGCTTAAAACCTTCCACTACAGAGGTTGTATGCCTAAGGCATGACTGCCCACCATGACCTACCCAGTTAGGAATTTATGATCGGACTCTGCTGTGAGATTACTTCCCACAGAACCCCTAATTCTTCTTCCACATTGTCATTATGCTATAGTCACACAGTGATATTCACAATCTCAGAAACACCTTGCAGCATCCGCTATTCTATTTCTTGGAGGAGGGAGAGGGTTGAATGAGTAAAGAGGTACTAAATAATGCTAATTAATTTGACAGAGATGTGTAACTGTATAACTTAGATTTGGGATTTTAGAGAAGGTGAGACTGAAGGCACTTTTTTGATTCAAACTTCTCATTTGAGAGATGAATAAAATGAGTCCCAGAGATATCAGGTTACTTCTCCAAAGCCTACAACCTTGAATCGGAGCAATTCTGACTCATTTATCCATTCATCAGATATTCCAGGCCTTGCGGATGGAAAGAAGGCAAATATATGCAAAGTACGTTTGGTATTGAATTAGATAATTAGTTCTTTTAGTAATCATGCATTCTTTCTTAAAAATCATAAACTACGTTATAAAGCATTGATAATCATATCTTTTACAGGTTTATTATTTTTGAGACAAAGAATCCATTAATAATATTTTATAAATAATATTTTGAAAAATACAACCAATACTAGCTCTAAAACAGCTACAGTAATGTAAAAAATTAAAGTTAGATCATGGGGTTCCTCTGTACAAAATATTGATTCCTACCTTACTCAGAATAAAATCTTGAGTCCTTTAGTGTTCAATCTGAGCAATAATTGTATTAAGGGGTCATTTTATATTTATTTTACATATAAAATAAAACTGTATTACCACATACATGCATGATTTCGAAATTGCCTGATTTGATTTCTCATGAAATTCAGCGTAAGTTTGTGTGGTTTTTCTTAAGCGTCATCTGACCTATGTATAGTGACATGTTACAAAGCTCAGGGAGAGAGAGCAGACCTGAGCATCTCCAAAGGATGGATGAGGTCCCCACTCATGTCTCTTACATGTGAGATTTACCTTTTTATGATCTGGCCTTTCAAAGCTAAAACTCTAAAATTCTCTACATCTTAGCCAGTTGGACATAAACCGCTCAGACCTAGTTTTAGAAGATACTCTAAACTCTAATAAATATACAAAGGAAGGCCTTTTCAGGTATAAAATCCATATCAGAAGTGTTCTTTGACTATAGGATAAGATAACTGAGTAGTTTAGATTGGACAAATGAACTTAAAAATTGAATCTTTCTGTTTCTCTTTCTTTTCACTTACAAAAGCTAAAACACCTTACAAGGTACTTTATTATCTTCTTTATGCTCATTCAAAGGAGACAGATGCCAGCAGGAAAGGTGGGGCCTGCAGTGCAAAGGGCCCAGGAAAGATCCCGTTGGTTGCTCCTAGGAAATCTCAAGGCACCGAGGGCTTCTTCTACTCTGATCAGATTGTCGGTTGTGGAGACGGTGCAGCATTCAATTAGTACAATTCCCTAGACCCCCTAGCAAAACAGCGCATCTCCTCTTTCTAGTCCTGGCTACAGGAAGTCCTGCATCTAGTCAGACCTCTGGGGCTCATGCTCCACCATTCAGAACCACATTTTTACTGACATTCATTCCTGTATTTCCCAGAGCATTAAAAATTTATTTTTAAAATCTGAACAATGAGTACTTTCTGGGTCATGTTGACAAACACAGTGTGAGCTGGGACATTGAAGATTAATGAAAAGTAAAGCTTAATAGCTTTTTCTTTAAAAAAAATCGGAAATTTCAGTTGCCTCTTCTATCGAAGGGCAAATATGAAACTTTGCCATTGAAAATGACCAAAGTCAAGTTTTCCTATTTTTAGAGGTAGCTGGTTTTGCCCTATTTCCAAATACGAGTATTTTGTAGAGCTGGAATTGAATAATTGAATTCCATGATGAAATGTCATTGATGCAAAGAAAGAAGATTGTGGATATATTACCAAATATCAAAAAAAAAAAAAAAAAAAGTTATAGACTCCAAGAGTCTTATAGCTGGTGCATCAATGTTCATTTTATATTTGTACAATATGAGCCACTTTCCTTACGGTAGAAAGCCTTTCTAGGGTAGTATGATATATGTTCTATACAACTAGGTAACTTAAAAAAAATTTTTTTTCTTGTTTTGATGAATAACGTAAACAAAATAAATGCATGCAAATAATGCTAGAAAATGTCTAATGTGCAAGTCTAAAATGTCCTTGTTTTGGATTTCCATGTCATTCAAACTTCAAATCCATTGACTGCAGATTTCGGTGTGGCAGAATGACACTGGTCTAGGGTCTGGCTTATTTAACTCTGGTACATGCTTCCAGTGGAATGCTGTGCTGCTGAGCTCTCTTTGTACTGCTATGGGAAGAAAGATCAAATATGTTAAAAGGAAATAGCACATTGCAGAACAGGATATACCTTGCATTTTTTGTTATATAGGGGAAAATAAGATGACAATATTTGTATTTGTGTATGCATAAGAAAACACTGGAAGCATATATAATAAAGTAATACAAGGTATTACCTATAAGTGGAGGGACAGGGGCAAGGTTAAATAGAAATATGGGGGGACTGAGATGTCTCAATATCTGTCTTTTTATAGAGTTTGGCAGTTCGGTATTTGAAATGAGAATGTATTGCCTATATAAAAAAATTAAAATAAAAAAATATGTAGTTACTCCATGTGCACTGAAAAGGTTTTGCCTTCAAGGAATAGTTGAAATAATTTCTTATTATCCACACTTGTTCATTACATTGATCATTCATCATGTAGAATTAAAAATTTATCATTGTATCCCTAAAATATTTGTATAAGATTTCGTTTACTATTACCACAGTCAGTGCTGGGTTTTGTCTAAGGAAAAAGAAACCGAAGGCTTTTATTTATGTATCTTTAATTTAAAAATTCTTTAAAGTTCTACATTAAAGTTTTCAGTGGAACTAGTTTTCATCAACTCTATGCTAATTATTCTAATGGAAGAAGACCTTTACTACATACCAGATTGAGTGAGTTTGAATCAAACTTACTTTGAATTCAATTAAATCCAACAAATATTTATACCTACATGCTAGGTATTATTCTAGGCACTTACAGTACAACAGAAGACAAGAATCAAATGGTCCCTGCCTGTGTAGAATTTAAATTCTAGTTGGGTAGGGGGAAGTAGAAGATAAATATAACAGGTAAATTGTATAGTGTTTTCATTAAATACTATTAAAAACTAAATTTTAAAAATTAAAGATGACATTATGCTTCTTATACCAATAGAAATGAGCACCTGTCAGAGATTTTTTTTTAACTCACTAATTAATGATGGAACCAGTAAGATATTATAATTGGTTCAAAGGAGAAATAAAAGAATCATGTTTATATTTAAAAAAATGAACACTGAAATAAATTCACAAATAAATGCAAACACTGGTCAATATTCACAGGACACTGATCAATTGTATTCCAGCGAACACAGCTGATTTTCATTTCTATGGACGAAAGTCATTCACATTCAGTTTTCTATTACATTCCTATCAATAAGGATCATTCCCATTGTTGTAGGTTTTGTACTGCGTTCCTCTGAATAAGAATGATTTGTGTTATTGTCATTGTTCTACAAGTTGTGACATTATAAAATTGAATTGCTGTAACTTCTGAAAGTGATAATAAAAATAAAAATACCAGTCTCAGTGCTAATACATATAAAATATCAGTTGTACCACACGTAGACTAATTTTTGTGTGGCTCTGGAAATGTGATTTTGACTCTTGTCACTATAATAATAATTTACCAGTTTTATAATATTCTTTAGCTAATGGTGTAGAAGCCAATTTACATTACACATTGCACATTTTGTCCCCACTGGTTGGGTGCTTTATGAGATTTTTTTCTTTCTGCCTATTTGTTTCTTAAAAGCTCAGGGCTGGATTTTTTCCTAAACCTTAAAATAAAATATTACTTAATTTTCACTGCCTGTTTGCTTAATTTTACTTAATATTACTTAATTTTCACTGCCTGTTTGCTTTGCCAATTTCTTTTTCCTGTCTCAGGTGCTGGGACCTTAGTGCTGGAGACATCAAGTGGATTTATCAAGCCCCAATCTTAGCAGCTATTGGAGTAAGTCTAAAAACCTGGATAATTTATGTGTTTTTAGATTTTTTATGGCTATCTTAGAGAGGAAGAGAAAGAGAGAGAGATAGAAACATCAGTGTGAGTGATACATTGATCAGCTGTCTCTTGCACGCCCCCCACTGGGGACCCAGCCTGAAACCCCAGCATGTGTCCTGACTGGGAATCGAATCGGGACCTCTCAGTCCATGGGCGGACACTCAGTCCACTGAGCCACACTGGCCGGGCAAAGCCTGGATAGTTTAAAAAGAAAAAGGATGCATAATTAAGTTGCTGCTAAAGCCCAGAGAAAGTTTGTCACTGTGGTAGGAAGGATTAGGAAACTCCTGTTATAGTAGCTGCTGCGGGGAGAGTCTGGGTTGGAGCTCAGACCCTTAACTGTGGCTGACATCTGCTGAGATTCTGACTTGCAAAGTGAAACAGTGAGATAATGATAGAGGCTCTAAAAGACTCACCATTGTTGAAGAAGAAATGAAAATGATTGTACACTTAATAATTTTGGAAGGAAACTTAGGTAGAAAAGGCCATTTCCATCTTCTTGAGCTAAAATTATGACAGCTCCAAGGCACCGCCGGGCACTGTTTTACGTGCTTTATTAGATCAGTTTTTCTAATCCTCCCCATCACTCTAAACGAGGGAACTGCCCACGGTCACACAGCTAGTAAGTGGTGGAGCTGGGATTCTAACTTCAGGGTCACCCTCTCTCCCCAATGAGCTCCTGCACTTATAATAAAATCTAACATCCCTGATACTCTAGAGAAAACCTGTCACTCATGCCTGCACCCCTCTGCAGCTCCCTCAGCCACCTTGCCTTCCTTTCAGTTCCTGGAACTTACCCAGTTCTGTCCCTTTCATTCTGCACTGTACCCCTGCCAGGCTGGGCGCGCTTCCTTCTCCTCCTCGCTGTAAATGCCACTTCACTGCGGTCTCCTTGAGGCCCCAGTCCAAGTTGTCACCGATTATAACCTGCAGAGCACAGTGAGGGTTTTCCTTCCCAAGATCATCACGACGTATAATGCTTCTAATTGTTTGTTGAATACCCATCATGCCCACTACCTTGCAAGGTTAAGTGAACAAAAACCATATTTAAAAAAAACAAAACAAAACTGTATTCCTAGTTGCCTAGCAAGTTTCCTGGCAAATAATGGTCACTCAGTAAATACTTGTCAAAAAAATAAAACATACATACAAGTGAGATATCCTGGGGAACGCCAGAGGAAAGGGGATGGAAATAAGAGCTCAGAGCCAGTGTAACTGTAGAACTTCTGAGTCCATTTCACGCAACCTTTTCACTTTCCTGGAGAAGGAACCCGAAGCCCACGCGGGACAGGGCACATGGCTACTGTGACAGAACAAAGGCTACAACCCGTGCCATTGACCATGTGCTTTTCACTTGCATTCCAAAACATGTCAGCATTGTTTCTTGCCTGATAAAGTCAACGAAAGTAAATAAATAAATAAGATTGTTTCTTGAATTCATGGAAAAGGACCTTTCCATCTTTATAGCAATATTTATAGCGTTTTTATATACTAACTTCAGGATAAGTGCTTTGTTTTTTAGGCTTACATTACATGTAGCATGGTTTTATGTGAATTGATAGACTCCATATATGCTGTCAAAAATTATTTGCCAAGAATTTAAAATGCAAGTTGGATCCCGCATTTAATTATGGCTTTGGAAATTATAATAACATAGATTTTATTAATTGGATTTTATATATCTGGGAGTAAAATGTGGTAAAACGCAGTCAGAATTTCTAAGCAAAACAAATTTAAGAGAATAACGGAGTTTGTAAAGGTTGAGTATTTATAGGTTCCAATTGGAATATGTCATAATAAAATAATTGAATTTTAGACATAATCACAAACTTCAGTACAAATTTGGAAGGAACCACTTGATTTTGGAATCCTAGAATCTAAACTTGTAGCACTATTGTTTTCTGTGTTTTGTTCACATGTTAAAATTGTGTTGAAGAGAACTATAGTCATTAGAAAACAGTAATTTTTGTTATTCTGAAAATGAATCTCTCCGAATATAACTATTAATTATTCACCTGAAACATCTTGATATTGATTTGAGGATGATTAGAGAGTGAGAGAGAGAGGAAGGGAGAGGAAGAGAGAGACATCGACTGGCCGCCTCCTGCATGCCCCCACTGGGGATTGGCCCACATCTGGGCATGTGCCCTGACTGGTAATCTAACCGATGACCCCTTGGTGCATGGGTCAGTGCTCAACCACTGAGCCACACTGGCCAGGCTTGAGGATGATTTAAAAATTTTTCTGTATAACATCAAAATATGAGAGGAATGTTTCCTAACTGATAACAGAGCATGAAGTTCGTTTTGGTCCTGGGCCTTCCAGAGCATCCTCAGAAGAAACAGGATGTTCTACCTGAAGAGCAGGAGAAGCAGCGGGCGGGGCGGCGTGGTCTAGAAGTGGTAACGGAATGGGTAGATGTGATGAATCCTGACCAAGCAGGGCACTGCCCCCTGAGACATGAGGACCTGCGTTGGCACTGGTGTCCACTAAGAAAGACTATAACAGCTGAATAGCAATAAACCACAGACATAGCATATAGACTGGGAAATTGAGCAGACTTGCTCATGAGTACTTTGGAGACGGCCTTGAAGATGCTAATAATATGGGGTGGAGAGAGGTTTGGTACTAGCAGAAATAAGAGATCTTGAATTTATAGGTTAAGGAAAAGAAGAAAGAGGAAAACTCTGTGGTATTTGCCCTAATTATTTCCTTTATCCTGTGTTAGTCTGCTCCGTCCATCCATCCATCCTTTCATCCACCGTCCACTGATAGGCAGTCAAATGGTCTTTCTAGTCGCTCCTCAGTTTCATTCTTACTGAAAAGTCTTTTCTTTTGTCCCTTGAAAGAGTTAAATCTCTTACTTCCTATTCATCATTTGATGAATAAATATTTTTGACTGCCTTCTTGCTTCAGGAAATGTCTCAAAATCTTTTTTGCATAACCCTCAAACAACCGTGAGGTAGGTCTTTTCATTGTTTTCAGTTTTAGTCCAGGAGAAGTTATATAACTTGCTTAGGGTTACACATTCAGAGAGTGCTGCAGTGAGGGTCAGACCCAGCCAGGGGGGTCCAGAGCCTGCAGCTTTTACTGTTAGTGGTGATAGGATGTAAGCTGGGCCAGTGTTCCCCAAGGTGGGCACATACCTGGTGCATGAGAGGATTTAGGTGGTACGTGAAGGTCACTATGTAACATTGAGCCATATATTGAGAACATTGGTCCCTTTCCAACCCTTCTGAACACACCCAGGAGAAATTCTCCTTTTGGTACTGGTCTTTAACACAGCCCTAACGTGTGGTTTGTTTCTTTGGGGGTGGCATATGGGGGACAGGCAACCCAATCTAGATAAAATTCCTCTGACTTGTTTCCATTCCATTTATTTTTGCCTCTTGTTTATAGCAGCTTCTACTGGTTTTTCACTTATGTTACTGATCTGGAATTTAAATTTCAATACTTTAATAAAAGTGGATTGTTTAAAGAAAACATTAAGTAAATAATAGTAGGTGAATAATTGATAAGGGAAAATCATAGTGGTGGCACCCTAAGTAACTGTCTTTTGGAGAACACTGAACTAGGCAAATTTCTTTAACAGTGAAATTTGGGATTATAGCAAATGGTCTGATCAACATCACCAGTGAATGGCCCCATGGTTATGGGAAGCTAGTTATGTTTCATGTGATCATGTGATCAGGCACTTTTAAGAGTGTATTGCACCCCCCCCCCCACACACACCCACACAACCAAAAAGACAATAACAATAACAACAAAAAATAAAAGTAAAAAAAAAAAAACCAAAGGAGCTCACAAGGAAATGGAGACAGTAATTAAAATGCAATACACTTGTGTTTTCTGATGTAATTATGAGAGCTTATGGTTAGCATTATAAATGTTGATGGATTTTAGAAAAATATGAGGCAATTGTAAGTTACTTCTTTTTTTGTCGATTTTTATTGGTATATTTACTTATTTTTAGATATTTATTATGATTCATAGCATCGCTGTGTACCCTAGCTAAGAACTAACCTCTGTGTTCAGCATATAATTTGCAGTGTGTGTCATGGGCTTCAACAAAGGCCTGAAGGTCTAGATCGAATGACTAACCAAGTAGCATCTCCCGAGGCCGTTGCTTGCTACTTTGAGTGCGTTCAGTAGAGACCTCCAGATTTTCAGTGGTTTATCTTATAAATTATTTTTTCCCCAAATCCCTTGTTTTTCCTTCAGAACATCTGAGGGAATTCTGGAAGAGGGAATAAGATAGTACTTCTAATGAAGGCCATTTAAAATATATCCAGTGAGCTTTGTAAAATCGGGGAAGGAAACAGACAAGGCCTAAGCTTCTCAGCTGCTGTTGAGTCTGATTCATTTCCCCCATTTGTAATTAAAGGAGCCCAGTCAGGAAAAACAAGGGATGGGGGTGACAGGGATGACTGTGAGAGAGGAAAGTAAGATGGATAAACTTCAATCTAATCTTTGACGGAATTGCAAATACCAAATTGATTTCCTCCCCAGAGGAAGCTTGCCACTCCAGAATCCTCCCCCCGCTTTTTAAACCAGTCACATTTAGAACTTCAAATGAAATGAAAGCTTTATAATTTACCACTGATGCTGTCTCTAGTTATAAACTGAATTCCAACTGATAAAAATGAGCTCCATATTTGTCTTCATAATCTATCATATTGACAGTAAAATTGTAATAGTTGGAATAGATTAAGGATTTTATGATCTATTATCTATTATTTAAATATTCAATATTTAGCATCAATATGCCTATAAACAAAGCAGAAAGGTTTCTTCCGTTCATGATATTGAAAAGTGTGCCTATATGTGGAGTGAGATGTGGCGTATTCAGAGGGTCTCTGAGGGGAATACATGGCCTCCCTCTTTGCTGCTCAGAGGTATAAACAAGGGCTGGGGAGAACCAAAGCAAAACCCGTATAGCTTCTGGAGGC